AGCAGGTCACAAAAGGCAATCGTCATAAATATGAGTTGGTTGCCAAGCATCGCAGTTTTGATCACGTGACCCATGGGGATGCTGCAACGGTCGTAAGTATAAAAAATGGTAAGAAGTCTTTTTTTTTTTCAGTGATCTGGAAATTCGAATGGCCACTAAATGAGCAGTTGTAAGTCAAGGATTACCTGTATCCTTTTTTAACGGATGGATGGATGGATGACTTAATGAATTAATTAATCCTTTATTGGCCAAGTGTGATTGAACACACAAGGAATTTGTCTTGGTGCAAATGCTCTCGGTGTACATAAAAGAAAAGATACATTTGTCAAGAGTCAAGAATCATCAGGTACAACACTTAATGGGGTACAAATAAGCAATCAAATCATACTAGGAAACAGTCAATATTAAGGATACAAGCAACAAAGTTACAGTCCTACAGTCACAAGTGGGAGGGGATGGGTGATAAGGAGTGATGAGAAGATTAACAGTAGTAGTAGTGTACACTTTGTAAATAGTTGAACAGTGTTGCGGGAATTATTTGTTTAGCAGAGTGATGGCTTTCGGGAAAAAACTGTCCTTGTGTCTAGTTGTTCTGGCGTGCAGTGCTCTATAGCGTCGTTTTGAGGGAAGGAGTTGAAATAGTTTATGTCCAGGGTGTGAGGGGTCTGTAAATATTTTCACAGCCCTCTTTTTGACTCGTGCAGTATACAGGTCCTCGATGGAAGGCAGGTTGGTAGTAATTGTTTTTTCTGCAGTCCTAGTTATCTGAAGTCTTTGTCTGTCTTGTTGAGTTGCAGAACCAAATCAGACAGTTACTTTTTGGGTTTTTTTAGAGATACATTAGATTAGAAGATACTATAGGTATGAGCCCTATCTAAAAGAAATTGAACCTCACTCTATTCACCATTGCCGTTGGATCTCTTTTTAGAGATAGATATAGCTGGTGTTCAGTTGAACACATAACGGCAATATGCACATGATAATATCCCACAGATGATGAAATGGATTTTTCATATATGTAGCATCACTTTTCCCCTATGGAAATGGCCCCTAAGACAGCAGGTACCTTCTGTTTAAGATGGAATATGTTGGTTGCAGCTATTTCTGCTGTAGGTTCTTGAGAACATGTTCAGGCTAACTCAATATGGAAGTACAGGAATACCAGCATCTTCCCTTGACTTATTCTCCTAGGTGTCACTCATTAAATCTCAGCATCTTTCTCAGTGGCTTTTTGTTCCACATGTCTAATTTCACTGCACATCGAATTTCACGCGTTAGTAATAAAGCAATAGGTCAATGACATCTAGTGGTGGAAATGGGAAAAACAGAAATGGCTAAAGTGGAGATTAAAAAAACAAAAACAAATTCTAGATTAACCGATATATCCCTTGAGCGATTGTTCCAAAGGCAGGGATTGGAACTGTATTTCAAGAGCAATATTGCAAACATATTTTCTGTATTTTTTATATTATTATTATTATTATTACTACTACTATTATTATTATCATCATCATCATTATCATTTTACTACAAAGAGGGAAGAAACATACCCATATTGTCATTTAATTCAAAGGATTGAAAGATCAAGAAGATAGAGTCAATTGCAGGATGCTCCAGATTACAGGGATCCTCAGCTGTGGGAACTTTAAGACCTGTGGACCTGGCTGGCTGAGGAATTCTGGGAGTTGAAGTCCACAAGTCTTAAAGTTGCCACGGTTGGAGACTCCCTGCTCCAGAATGTACGAGTCCACTCAAAGCAGTGCCTTGATGGATGATTTCTGAGAATTCGGAAGAAGGCATATATGACCAGAAATTACTAGCAGGGTGAGAATAATAAATTCTAAATAAAAAGGATAATAAAAGAAACGAAATTGTACCATTGAAAAGTTTATCCTTTTTTGTTGTGTTGTTGCAGAAACAGACAGGAGAAAATGCAACCTAGCATTGTCTGTGCCACACAATCCTCCCTAGAAAGGTACCGAGTTGTGTTATTCCATCTACAGCTTCCCATAGTTTTCGACTTATGACACAATTAAACCCAATGTTTCTGTTGCTAAGATGTTTGTTAAGTGAATTTTGCCCCAACCTTTCTTGGTTGTTAAGTAAATCACTGCAGTGGTTAAGTCAGTAACACAATTGTTAAATGAATCTGATTTTTGCATTGACTTTCCTTGTCAGGTCACAAAAAGAGGATTACATGGTCCCAGGACACTACAACCGTCATCAATATGAGTCAGTTTGACAAGCGTGCAAATTTTGATCATGTGACCATGGAGATGCTGCCATGGTTGTAAGTGCGAAAAATGGTCATAAGTTGCTTTTTTGAGTGCTGTTTGTAACTTTGAACAGTCACTAAACAAGCTGTTGTGGATGACTACCTGTACAGACTGTTTTGTGGGTATACAGCAGTTGTGGTATTCAGCTGGTTAACACCGGATCAGGCGAACCAATAGCAAGGATTTGGCGTGGGTCGCCAAAATGGTAGTAAGTTCTGGCTGGCCACACCCCCGACCCGGTCGCCCAGTCGCCACTGGCTTGCTTGTCCTGCCCGCCCGATGCTTGCTCACCCCGCCTGCCTGACGCCTGCCCCTTAAGGTATTTCTTTCTTTTCTTTCCCTCCCGACAATCAGCTGTTCATACGATCAGCTGTGCCAGGATTCCCCTTGCTGAGGCCCAGGATGGCAAAAAATGGAGGGGCTCAGACCCCCCTCCATTTTTTGCCTTCCTGAGTCCCAAAGGAGCCTTCTGGGATTAAAAATGCACCCCTCCCCCCGAGGCTCCTCTGAGGCCCAGAAGGCCCAAAAAACAGGTGGGGGGAGGGTTGGCTGGAAAAAAAAAAGGCACACCCACCCAGTCACATAGCCACACCCACTTAGCCACACCCACAGAACTGGTAGTAAAAAAAATTCAATCCCATCACTGGTATACAGGTATTCTTTGTCTTAGAACCAACAGTTACGATGGACTTTTCTGGAGGCTTATGGCTTGGATTTGAAATTCCTACAGTTCCTCCCCCACCCTGCAATCATGCAATTAAATTTGGGGCATTGGTCATTTGGCAGCCGTTTGCAGCGTTCCACAGAATCATGGTCACTTTTCATAATAGTTTCAACTAAACCGAAACTTTTAGCTTTAGGGGCCCGAAGGCTAAAACGTCCAAAGAGCCATTGCATGATTTGGGTATGTCTAGTTTAGTGAAAAGAAGGACTAGGGGTGACCTGATAACAGTCTTCCTATTTTCCAAAGCACCAGAATGCAAGACAAGAAACAATGGTTGGAAACTAAACAAGGAAAGAAACAAACCTAGAAAATAAGGAGAAATTTCCTAACAGCGAGAACGTGAACTCAAAACATGGCCTTACATTTCTGCCCAAAACATTTTGCACACCCAACTTCACTTCTTCAAGATCATCTGTAAATTCATGAAACCTGCTGGTTCACATTATCTTTTCCCTCAGGACGAGGGTGGGGTGTGAAAAAGCTATGATCCAGTTGCTTACTGTTTAGTCTCAATATTGAGCTATAAGAATATTTTATTTATTATCCCGCTTTTATTATTATTTTTATAAATAACTCAAGGCGGTGAACATATCTAATATACCTTCCTCCTCCTATTTTCCTCACAACAGCAAAGCTGGCTGAGGAATTCTGGGAGTTGAAGTCTACAAGTCTTAGTTGCCAAGTTTGGGGACCCCTGCTTTATATTATGCAATGTATTATAAACTTTGCCAAATTTCAGTTCCACGGGATTCATAGCAGTGACAAAATTGACTACCGGTTCTGTGGGCATGGCTTGGTGGGCATGGTATGGCTTGGTGGGCGTGGCAGGGGGAGGATACTGCAAAATCCCCATTCCCTCCCCACCCCACTAACCTGCTTTCCAGCTCCATTCTCCTGTGCAGAGCAACAAAAGAAGACCCAGCCAATCAGCTGGGACTTGGGAGGCAGAGAACAGATGGGGGCGGGGCCAGTCAGAGGTAGGATTTGCTGGTTCTCCAAACTACTCAAAATTTCCGCTACTGGTTCTCCAGAACTGGTCAGAACCTGCTGAATACCACCTCTGACTCACAGGTCCCAGATTTTGGACACAATCTGTATGTTACCCCATTTAAGCTACCAGTACTTCCAGTACTCCAGGTTGACACCTGACCAAGGTAGAAGGGAAATATAGTGTAATTGAACTAGACATCCAAGGTTTCCATTTCAAACTTTTGCATTTCTGAATAAGACATTTTCAGGAGCCCCTGAAATGTGTTTTGGGAGTCTATTTCTTATTGACTACAGGTAGTCCTTGACTTACAACAGTTTACTTAGTGACTGTTCCAAGTTACAACAGCACTGAAAAAAAGTGATTTATGTCTTTTTCACACTTATGACCATTGTAAGCATCCCCATGATTACATGATTTACATTTGGATGCTTGACAACTGACTCACAGTTATGACGACTGCAGTGTCCCTGGAGTCATGTGATCACCTTTTGCAACCTTCAAACAAGCAAAGTCCATGGGGAAGCCAGATTCACTTAACAACCATGTTACTAACTTAACAACTACAGTGATTCACTTAACAAATGTGGCAAGAAAAGTCATAAAAATGGGGCGATATAACACTTAGCAACATATAAATGTAACACTTAGCAACATTAATTTTGGGCTCATTTGTGGTCATAAGTTGTGGGCTACCTGTATTCTTCTCCCAAAATGAGTGATATTTTTTATTAAAAAGTTTTTTTTATATAGCTCACTCACAATAGCCCTATTGCATTACATAAACTGATTGCATTTCAGATCTAGAAAACTACAATGGCAGACAGATATATTTATTGTACACAGAGACCTACACTTGAGATTATTTGAATTTGCCATTTGAAATATGAAATTCATTTGGGGGCATCCTTTGATCAACTCACTGTTCCATTAAATCCCCCTTACATTTAGGAATTCCTTCTCATAGTACAATCTTATGAATTACGTATGTGACAAGCAGCTAAACCCATTGTTTCACTCTTACATTTTAATTAGTGGAAATTAGGAAAAAGGCTTTATGGAACTGAAATTCACTATGTTAAGTTACAGCTTGATTTTTCCCCAAAAAAAACCACACACACACACACACACACCTTGTTTTTCTCTTGCAGCTCCTCAAATATTTATTATTTCAACAATTTCCCTCATTTTTAAAACTAGAATTTTTTTCAAACGGAAATAGATTTTTGCTGTCCTATATGATGTTTTATTAACTAAATTAAGAGCTATAGATTAATTTTTAATTGTTATCTTTAAATATATTGCAAGTCACCCTAAATTTTCAAAATAAAAAATTGAGCTGAAGCAGGTAGATATTTTTTTATTTCTTTTTCGTGCGAATAGGCCAAAATGAAAAAAAGAAAAGAAAGAAATGCAACTATACTCTGCTAAGAAGGGAAATATAAAGAGAGGAAAAAATAGTATATACCAGTAATTAGAATCAAGATTCTTGATGGTGGTTTTACAAATAACTTTATGGAACATAAAGCAAAGCATTTTCTTTGCTTCGACTCAGTTCCTCTGCACTATTTTAGGAAGCAGCCAATACTAGCAGAAAAAGCATTTGGGGGCACTGTTTCATCAAGCTACACATGGATGTTTGCTCTGTCCCACTAATTCTGCTTATTTGAAGCAATGTATCGTTTTACATACATAAATTGCAGTCTCATTTGGTAACAACCCCCACCCCAACACATAGAAACACTGCATTTGCATTCTTTATTTAATATTACAAAAGCATGATGGCCTGACTGAGGCATCAGGCAGCCTCCAGATAAACACTTGAGGAGTCACCTTTGAATATTCCACACCAAGAGGCTCGGTTTATAAAAATGCAGTGATCTCGATGCAACTGCTCTGTTCTCCCACCTATATGGAAGGCATGATTTCCCACCTGGTTTTTTTTTGTTTTTTTTTAAACCTGCCTTTTAAATGTTTCTCTATCAGAGGTTGAGCTTTCACTGTCAGAAAATCCTAAATAAAGTTCCCTTGATAACCGTGAGATGGTACCCTCAGCAAAAACAAAAGCTATCATTCCTACCGGAATATCATGGGCCCCGAATGAAAAAATGGCTCATTTCAAGCTAGAGAAAGAAAAGAAGAGGCTATATTATCTTCCTTAGCTCGTATACTCCAAAAGTTGCTTCATTCTGTCTCTTGGAAACAACTGTTTACAAAAGTTCTCGAGCAAGGAGAATTTGTTTCAAACACGCACATACGTGGACATACATACTCTCTTCTCTAACCCACGGCCGTACGCTGGGCAAAAATATTTTGGCTCCGAGTCCCTCAGGCAACTGGTAGTCTGTGCAGGAGTTCGTGTCATCGCTGGCTTAGGTGGGAGATGACATAAATGAGGCCCACCAAGAGTAAGCCACGCACGCCCACCATCATGAGCAGGAAGAGCAGCAAAATGGACATCACGGGCTCCACCACCTGGTTGCCAAGGTGCCAAGTGGGGAAACCCATGTTCACCAGCTGCTGGTTGATGTCTGAAAATGGCGAACGCTCCCCGGGCCTCGCATTCTGGCGCTGCTGCTGCTGCTGCTGCTGCTGTGGTGGGTTAGGACCAGCGTTTGAGGCTGCGTTGAAAAAGCCCTGTGGAGACCAAGCAGGAGAAAGGGAATGAGCACAAGAAGCCGTCTTTCAAGCCACAGAAAGGGAACTGTAAAAGGGAGGAGTCCGAAATACAGCACTTTAGGCAAATTAGAGGTCATTTCACAGAGAAAGATACCTGGTGGGCCGGGCTAAGGAATATCAAGCGCCAAGAGGACTACAGGTAGTCCTTGTTTAGCAACCACAATTGGGACCAGCAGCTTAGCCGCTAAGCGAAGATGTCGCTAAGCAATACCGCAACTGGGCTTACAACTTTTATTTTAGCTTTCTTCTGCTTTACAGACCTGCAAAGGTCACAAATACGAGGATGGGTTGCAAAGCTTTTTTTTTTTTTTTGTCATCATCGTTGTAACTGAACAGTTGCTAAATGAGGTCGTCGGTTGTGAAACTGGCATTATGCTGAGAATTGGCCCTTTTCCAAAACCAATTTATATATATATATAAGCTAAGAAAAATGTAAGGAGGCTTTCTGGACTTCAGCATCCATAATTCCTAGACCTTCCGTTGCCAAGATCGGAAAAGCCCTTCTCTGTTGTCATCCAAGGATGACCCTGCTTTCCTAAAATTTTTGGAGAATGAAAGTGAGTCTGACTGCTCCTTAAAAATTAGTTACTTGGTTGACAGTATGCTGTTTAGATATTTTTATTACTCTGGCTTTGTGTGTACTTTTTATTTTTTCATAATTGTCCCTTCCAACTCTGTTAATCTTGTTAAATCTGACAAAAACTGGTAAAGTTGCTCCCTGCCGCTACTTCCGTGAAAGGATTTAAAACTAAAAGCCCATCATGGTAGCTTTGCAAGAACAAAAGGCTGGCTCGGTCCTTGATGATGGCTCATTAAAGGTGGGGGGGAAACTCCGTGTTAGAGGCAGAGCGGAGGTCCTCCCCACCTTTGATGGGCCATCCAGACTGAGCCAGCATTTTGTCCTTGCAAAGCTACCATAATGGGCTTTTAGTTTTAAAGGGCTCGGGGGTCTGGCTACACCTGGGGGGGAGGCAGAGGGAGAGGCGGCAGCTCAGCAGTGAAGGCGGCAATGGAACAGTGGCAAGGACCAGATCCCCCTCTGCCGCCCATCTGCTGTTCACAACCCGTTCCACGGCTCCGCCCTAAGCCCGACTCAGCCGCCACCGCTGCTGTTGCCGGTGGCTGCGAATAGCGGTCACTGTGCAGAGCTTGTATTGGGCTGCATAAGACGTTGTGAGAGCTCTCGCGGGGTCTTGTGAAGCCAATAGAGGCAGCAACAGAAGTGGTGGAGACAAGTGGCCAGGCCGGGCCAGTGTCTCAGTCATGTCATGTGTCTCCCTGAGCGATCACGGAACTTCTCTCCACCGCAGGAAACGGCACCTGTCTTGTCGCGTTCTTTCCCCACCCCACAGTCCCCACCACGAGCCCCTGGCCAAATGCAGCAAGCCCGAAAGGCAGTCGTCAGAAACTCTGTACCCCTCTGCCTCGAGCCTCATGCGGCAGGCGCGCGCAGAACCCCTGAGCTGGGCCTGGCCCATAAAGACCGAAAGGAGACCGTCGCAGCCTCACCCCGCCAACCCACGGACCATGGCAACTCATCTAAGGAGTGAGGAAGCCGGAGCTGGGGAGTGCGGTATCGGGCTGACAAAAGCTGCCAAATGAGTGAGGGAGCCAGACGTGAGTGGTTGAAGGAGAAGAGGCGAGGAGAGTAGGTAGATCTATAAGGTAGGGTGGGGCGGAGTGGGGTTGGGCGTGGCGTGGCGGAGCCAGCCAGGAGTGGGAGTCTTAGCTAGGGGATCACCCGAGCCCCTGAAAGCCCCCAGCAGCCCACCCCTGACTCAAGGCATTAAAATACAGTGGAAAACACAAACCAAATCCTAGGGGAACTCAAGATGGACTTTTGCTGATACAAAGATTCCTGCACATTTCTCCTGGAAGTTTTGAACAGATTTGGAAAGCATGTGGATTCCACCAAGAGAAAGCAATGATGAACATAAACCAATGATTAATGCAATGAAAATAATTTAATTAGAAGCCAAAAGCAGGAATGTGACAGCTTGTTTTCTCTCAGAAATGGTCCACCTACGTATTATAAAACACTCAACAGATTCCTTTCAGAATTAAAGCCTGAAGAGAATAACACAAGTTCACTCAAAGGACTCACATGCTTCTCACATACACACATATTCAGCTGAACTTGTGAAATCACATCATTACCATACTTTCTGAAGTCCATTTAAACATGCTAATTATCATTTGAAATTGCAAAATGAATAAGCAAGCGTGCATGTTTGAAGCAACTCAAAGTTCATCCTGTGCCAATTTTCCAATTTTATTCTTTCAAATCTCAAATGGACAGCTAATGTTAACACACACATACACAGAGAGCTCATGTCTTGCTTGTGAATTTAATTTAAGGGTACCAGATTGACCACAGTGAGACCCAGGATTCTGGACAAGAAAAACCTTTTAGTCCAATTCAGAGTCCTTTCTACCGGTACAATCTTTCTAATATGTAAATTGGCTCTGAAAATAGTTCTCTTTGAGCAGATTAAACAAACTGAATAATCAAGCACTAATTCAAGGCTGAATATAGGACTGGGAGACAGTTCAGTTTCATAATGGTGTTTTAGTGTTGTTGTGGTTCGCTGGCAGCAGGTGCAGACGGCTGAGGTCTCCGAGAGCGAGGACTCGGACGAGGGACCTGTGTGTGATGCAGGGATGGGGCCAGGACTGTCAGAGAGTGGGGTGCTGCTGCAGAGCTTGTGGAGTCTGGCAGCAGTGACAAAGAGGCCCCTGGGGTGCCTGTGCTCAGTGCGCATGTGCGTAGGGCTGCTCGAAGGAAAGAGCAGCTGCAAAAGCACAGGCAACTTGGGAATAAGGCTGCAAGGGGATGGCTCCTCCCATAAGGGATAAAAGCCAGCCTTTGGGGTTGGCTTCTTTGCAGGAAGCAAAGAAGTTCTTTGGACTCCAAGTTCTTGTGGAATTTCTGTCTATTCTGGTTTGTTTTCGGAGACTTTTGGCTTTGGATATTTCCCTGCAATTAACGTTGTGTTCTTGGCAGCCTTTCACATCCTTGAGAGGACTTGCTCTTATCTGGGATAGTTAGTTTTAATGACTCTTTGCTGTGAATGAACAGAATTCCCAGAAGCGCATTAAAAAGGTTTACTTTTCTATATACTTTGTGTTTATTTGATTGGAACGAGGCTTGGGTCAGAACAAGTGTGTTCAAAAGCACAAAATAGAGCTCCTGTCTATAACTCTTAAAAGAAATCCTATCTTTTCCTGGAATCACTTGGGGACTCTAGAGGATGCCTATGTGATCCTGGGAAAAGGTACAGATACTTTAAAAAGCTAATCTTCGAATTCTCCCATATTCCCTAACACCTTTTTCAAATTTCCAAACTGCTAGGAGAAAGGTTTTTACTGAATAATTCTAAGCACAAACCACAATACATACACCATTCCTCACGAGTCGAGATGAGTTCTCCCTCACCTGAGTGGACTGTCGCACTCGGGGGTCATCATCTTGCACAATATCTCCATTAGCCAAAATTCGCACCATCCTTATAGCAGTCTTGTGTTTGCTTTGTCACACCTGTAATTTACAGTGTGAAGATTTTTTTTTTAATATGATTAAAATAGACCCAAATAAGTTGAATATACCAACATGATATATAAATCTAGCAGCAAAGCATTTCTTACACAATCACAATAGCTAATACATGACACAATAGCTAATAACATTCCACTGCTGCATCCTTCACATGTATAGATCTACTACTATGCATGAGCAATTTTCTTACAATGTTGTACAATTCAAGGGCACAATTAATTGAAATACTTTTGCACCACATACAGAAACATTTGAAATAATTCACATAAAAAGTAAGAATGATGACTAAAAGATATTCAAAAATATATTCTTTTTGTCACATTCTATGGCAGCTATGTTTTGTGCACTGAATGTTCCAGACCCTCATCTGAGCCAGAGAACAGAAGTGCCACATCCTGTTCTCTCAATTAGAAACACTTTCCAGTTCAGTACTTTACCTGATCACAAGATTTTAAAGCCAAGTAAATCTGCAGAAGTATTAATTCTAAAACTTTTTTAAAAATATTTTTTCCTTGTAAGCAAAATGCCATCGGTTTTTAAAATGTTCATAACGGGCACCATTTTTAGAAAAGATATTTCCTTCCTGGTTCAGGGAAAGGAAAATCTGTTGAATGATATTTTGTATCCACGATTTACATTTTTTTTAAAAAAAAATGTGATATGCTCCATTGGTTTAAAATAAAATTAATTATAATATTCTACGGAATTTTTTTTTATGCCACCGTCACTGATACAGCAATTCTGGGAGACTTGTAATATGCTTAAAAGTATTACACAACAATTGAAATTGTTGAAAAGGTAAAAACTAAGATGATGGGAGGCCTCGGAGGTAGGTATCTTGCCTACCCAATCAGCCACCCTCAGTGTAGCAAGGCCCATGTCAGAGCTCCGGTTCAAATGACAGAACCAAGTTTTTCGACTTTTCCAAAAGGCCAGGAGTATGGGGATGGATCTCACTTATTTAATGTGTGTTTTATTTTATTTATTAAACCAATTTATGCAGCTGCCCGTCTCACCAAATAAGCAACTTGGGATGACATACAACAGAGCAAAAAACAGGTAATAAATATATTATTCAGGCATTTTGGTCACCCATGACAATACTGCAAAACAATGAAAACAACGTAACAAGTTTTAAATGACATAAATAGCAGCTGAGGTAAAAATACACAATTGCATAATGTAACTTCTTAGTCAACAAATGGGTCTGGCTTAAAATGTCCTTAGATCTAGAAAGAAACTTGTCTTTCTCTTATTCCTAGGGGAAAAAAAACAGGATTCCCAAGATTCCCACAGCCTTATCTACAGAGAATTTCCCATCATCTTACTAGTTTGGGGTTAAATGCAAATCTGGAAAATATATGAATAAAAAGCGTGAGGTGCAAGATCCCCCCCCCCCATAGGTTAGCTCAGTGCAATGAGACCAGCTTGTGCCTATTTCTACCTTGAGAAGGGACTATATATCATGTTCTTTTGAGAAATATTTTATTTTTACAAGCACAGACAATACGAAGCATTAACCCACAAAACCTGGGAGTTCTCATTTTAGCATGAATCCATAAGGTAAACCTTAAGCCTCACTTCCAGTTTCTATTAAGCCTCACTTCTAGTAACCTGAAGCCTCACTTCTAACCAACTATTTATGCTACAAGATACATTCGGGGCCCACACAAATGAATACTCAAAGTGCACATACCAACAACTAGCTCTATACCCGTGGTTCACTACGAAACTATGTGATTGGGCTTAGTTATTGGGGAGGAAAATAAGGAGGGTGGAATTCTGCCTCTGCCTACCAGCATCCATCGGTATTCATCTGGCTAGAGCCTTGTCAGTGTGTGAGACAGTTGAGGGCTGTCTGGAAACTGAAACATGGAAACTGAAACATGGAAACTGAAACATGGAAACTGAAACAGTATTTGCTGTGTGAGCAAGGAGACAGCAAGGAGCTTGGGCATGGCTTAGCTCAACTGTTCTGTACTAAAGCTGCTTGCTGCTGTGAAATAGAAATGGAAACTCCTCTCGTCTGCTTGTGTTTTGCATCTGGAACAGATTTCTTTTCAGTGGGGAGGGGGAGTAGAACCTCTTAGCATCAGAGCGATGTCTGATGGTCATCTCAAAAAATCCTTTCATAGTGAGCACCTTGAAGCCAAGAGGAACATACGTGCCAAATTTCAAGTTTGTAGGCTTTACAGTTCTGGAGATTTTGTGATGATGCGTGAGTGAGTGGTATTTCGCTTTTAGATAGATAGATGGATAGATGATAGATAGATGATGGATGGATAGATGGATGGATGAATGGATGATAGATAGATAAATATAGATGATAAATGATAAATAGATGATAGATGATAGATAGATAGATGATAGATACCGTGTTTCTCCAACAATACGCCCCCCCCCCCCCAATAGGAAGACCCAGCATGTTTTCTAAGCATAAAATGAAATTAAGCCCCTCCAAATTTAGGCCTATTTTAAAACATGCGAAATTGAGGGGGGAAGGCGGGGGGAAACTTGCCGTTAGGAGCGCCCTGCAGGCAGCTATGCCTCGCCACCAGCCGCTCCTAACAGCCAATCATGGCGGAGCGTAGAGGGCTCCCTACCCCCGTCAAGCACCTTTGCTGCAGACCCGGGTCAGCGGGCGGGCATCGTCGTCGTGGATGTCCGCCGGCAGTGTTTCAGCCGCTTCTCAGGCCTCCGTAGCTTCCACAGTTCCCACTGGTGCTGGCGCCTCTCTCGCCAGCGCCGTCTCCAACAACAGCGGCAGCAGCGGCGGGAACCATGGAAGTTACGGAGGTGGCTCCCCCACCCGAGAAGTGGCTGAAATGCTTCCACGGTTCCCGCCGCCGCTGCCGCTGTTGTTGGAGACGGCGCTGGCGAGAGAGGGACAGCTGCAGCTCGGCCTGGGCGCGCTTGGAATGCAGGAACGGGCTGCGCACAGGGACTTTTGGAAACTTGCAGAGCCCGAGGCTGGAGCACCAAGGGTAGCAGCAGCAGAGATGCTCACTCAGCTCTTCTCACGCCACCCAGCCACTTGGGATTAAACCAAAACGCAGCGCGCGGCGCTCCCAGGTACGTCAAAATGTGTTTTTCTTTCCTGTTGTTGCAAGAACGGGGACGGGGGAAAAGCGGGAGTGACTCAGACGCTGTTGTTGGAGACGGCGCTGGCGAGAGGCGCCAGCACCGGTGGGAACTGTGGAAGCTACGTGGAAGCTACGGAGGCCTGAGAAGCAGCTGAAATGCTGCCAGCGGACATCCACGCCAACGACGCCTGCCCGCTGACCCGGATCTGCAGCAAAGGTGCTTGGCGGGGGTAAGGAGCCCTTCGTGCTCCGCCATGATTGGCCGTTGGGAGTGGCTGGTGACGAGGCGTAGCTGCCCGTGGGATGCCCTAGGCGAGGGTGCACAGGGAGGAAAAAAATTAATTCACCCCTGAAAAGACGTCCTAGCCGTTTTGTCGGGGCTCAAAAAAAAATAAGACCCAGCCTTATTATATGAGAAACACGGCAGATGATAGATGGATAGATGATAGAGATAAATAGATGATAGATAGATGATTGATAATGATAGAGTACAGTAGAATAGAATGGAATTGAAGGGAAGGGAATAGGAACAGGAACAAGAATGGAATAGAATAGAATGGGAATGGAATGGGAATAGATATGGAAATGGGAATTGGAATAGAATGGGAATAGGAATGGGAATAGAATGGGAATGGGAATAGAATGGGAATGGGAATAGAATAGAATGGGAATGGAATGGGAATAGAATGGAAATGGGAATGGGAATAGAATGGGAATGGGAATAGAATAGAATGGGAATGGGACTAGAATAGAAGGGAAGGGAATGGGGATAGAATAGAATAGAATAGAATAGAAAACATGGGAATGGGAATAGAATAAAATGGAATAGAAAAAATGGGAATGGAATGGAATAGAATAAGAATAGGAATAGGAATAGAAGAGAGACGAGATAGATATATATATAAAGGCACTAAGCAGCAAGAGAAATGATTAGCAAGCAGCGATGATGTCACAATATTTCCTCATGCCAAGGCTTCAATTCTAGAAAACGCGATACTCGACTTGGTCTCAACAGGAGGAGAGGAGGGATCAACTAAAAGCTCAGGGAATCCTCGCCCTGGCCCCGGAAAGGAACGTTCTGTACATGGTTAGAGGCACGACGGCTGTCTGGTTAGCTTCAAGAGCGTGTCTGGGACCCGGATTAACCCTTTCCCAAATGCCAGCAAGTTTCGGGGGGTGGGGGGAAACCCGGCAGTTCTATCTACGCTTACACATCCCGACAAATTTTCTCCACGTTGGTTTCAAGGCTAATAAATTGATTTGTACAGATGGAGTCGCAACGCCCCCCCCCCCCTCTGCCCACTCACCGCTCGCCTTTCTTTCCTCTCTCTCTCTCTCTGGGCTCCTTTTGCTGACGTCAGCCTTCCCTCCTTCTGCTGACTGTCCAAGTGTCTCCAGCCCGGCGACTTCTAGGGACGTCATCACCGGACATCGTTCGAGAGAGAGAGAGAGAGAGAGTCTCGCGCAAAGGGGTTGGAACTGTGCAATTAGCTCCCTCTTCAGGCGCCAAGGTGAATGAACAGGTTGTACGGCGAGCCAATGCATCGGCACAAGCGCTCAGGGGGTTACAGAAGGCAATTCCTTAAGCGGGCGGAGTGGGAATGGAAATGGCATTTTCCAACAACAACAACAACAACAACAACAACAATAACAGAAAGCTGTCTGGGTGAAAATAATGGCTGAGGGAGTGGGGCTCTTGGCCTCAAGAGGCAGGTGACAGCACCGAGCAACCTTGAGAGTGCTTTAGCAAATCTGAATTGGGCGTGTGGAGTCTTCCCAAGCATTTCGTTGATATAGGCTAGCCCAGGGGGTCTCCAACCTTGACAACTTTAAGACTTGTGGACTGCAACTCCCAAACTCCACAAGTCTTAAAGTTGCCAAGGTTGGAGACCCTTGCATTAGGTAACTCCCTTTCTACTTAGGCATCTAGAGAAGGATGATGATGATGAAAATTGTAGTCCAACTAGTCTGGAGGACTCCTGGTTACAGAAGGCTATTCAGATATCTAGGTAATGCAATGAGACTTAACATATTTGGACAATATCCACTTGGAGATGATAATCTGCAAGCAAAACAGGAGGCTGTTATCCACAAAACACATTTTGCAACACATTTCCATTGGTTTATAATAGTTGACTTTTTCTACAGGCCTGGTTGACTGAGACTGATGGGAATAATAATGGGATGCATCTGGAAGTCACCAGGTGATAGTTGGATTCTCTGGAGACATCTTGTTACATGATGGATCCTTGAGCTTGAGCAAAGCTAGCTGAGGAATTCTGGGAGTTGAAGTCCACAAGTCTTAAAAGTTGCCAAGGTTGAAGACCCCTGGGCTAAACGAGAAAATTGGGGAGACCGGAGGAGGCAAGTTTGCAAAGGGAGCCTGGTGGGCGTTGGATATATTGCCAAGCCCTGTTTTTGCAAGCAAGAAATCTTTGCAACTGAAGCAGACCAATCATTGCGTACAATTTTGTCTCGCACCAGCAGCTGGACCGGAGCCACCCTGGCTTGGCACCGCCTCTGCAATTCAGAGCAGATTTTCACTTTTTGAAGGAATTCAGAGAAACAGGACAAAGTTTACCTTACTGGGTCAGGTGGCAAGCAAGCACGGATTGGCTTGGGCATTTTAGTCAGGAGAGGCTCGCTCTGATTGGCTACAGCAATATCGCTTGCAAATCAAATCAAATAAAAATCTGCTCAGCTCCCCTTAGTATAGTGATATCAGAAATTGGGGGATAGAAAGTATATGCTCTTTTGCAGGACATGAGTTAAATCTGCATTTTGTCTTTCAAACTTAGCAATTTTTAAGTTCATGGACTTAAGACACTTGTGCTGACTAGCCCTAAGAAAAATGATACAAATTTATTAGTCTAGACTAGACTAGACTAGACTAGACTAGACTAGAATAGAATAGAATAGAATAGAATAGAATAGAATAGAATAGAATAGAATAGAATAGAATTCTTTTATTTGCCAAGTGTGATTGGACACACAAGAAATTTGTCTTGGTGCAAATGCTTTCAGTGTACATAAAAGAAAAGATTCATCAAGAATCATAAGGTACAACACTTAATGATAGTCATAGAGTACAATAAGCAATCAAATCATACTAGGAAACAGCCAATATAAATCGTAAGGATTAAAAGCGACAAAGTTGCAGTCATACAATCATAAGTGGGAGGGGATGGGTGATCAGGAGTGATGAGAAGGTTAATAGTAGTGCAGACTTTGTAAATAGTTGGACAGTGTTGAGGGAATTATTTGTTTAGCAGAGTGATGGCTTTCGGGGGAAAATTGTTCTTGTGTCTAGTTGTTCTGGTGTGCAGTCCCCTATAGGGTCGTTTTGAGGGAAGGAATTAAAACAGTTTATGTCCGGGATGTGAGGGGTCTGTAAATATTTTCACAGCCCTCTTTTTGACTTGTGCAGTATACAGGTCCTGAATTCCTTGGTAGCAATTGTTTTTTCTGCTCTCTCTTTCAATTTCTGCTTTCAATTACTCTCTGAAGTCTGTGTCTGTCCTGTTGGGTTGCAGAACCAAACCAGACAGTTATAGAGGTGCAGATGATAGACTCAATAATTCCTCTGTAGAATTGTATCAGCAGCTCCTCAGGCAGTTTGAGCTTTCGGAGTGAGAATCCATGGAGGCAAAACAAGACTCTCTCTCACACACACACAGTTTTGTCTCTAAGGAATTGGTACTAAAAACATTTTCACTAAGAAGTGTTGGAAGGAAAATCTATCTGGTTCAGTTCCAAGCTGGGAGAAAGACACTGAAAACATGGAGGCTGATTGGGAAAAAAAGGTTTATTGATGAAGCAGAACCACCAACCACATGTGATTCTGGGCAGCTGACAAAATGGCTGAATGAGTGGATGGATCTTTATAGGTTTCTGTGACTTTGAAGCTTGGACTCTTCTGGGGGTGGTGCAGTGAAGGGACTTGTGTTCTGAAAGGGTTTTGGACAATTCTTATTGTGGCTAATGGCTTTTGTCCTGCATTGGATCTTGGGTGAGGGGCTGCTTGTTCTAATCCTAGCATTCTGCCAAGGAGTTTTGAAATATTTTGTCTTGAATGGATTTCTACCTGCAGTATTTGCTTTGCTTATGAATAGAGCGATCTAGATAGTTGTCTTCCTCTTTCAATAAGTTCTTTATCTCTTTCAATAAGTTCTTTATCTCTTATCCCCATGAGGGCAAAGCTGTGGCACACATGGCACAGGTGACACGCAGAGCCATTTATGCAAGCATGCAAGCCCCAGCCAAACTTACCTGCACCACACATGCACGCGCCTCCCAGCTGATTTTGAGGCTGTTTTCGCCCTCCTGAGGCTCGAGGGAAGCCTCTGCGGCCTTGGGAGGCCGAAGAACAGGCCTTCTGGAAATATCAGAAGTGCCGAAACGGGCCTGTTTTCAGCCTCCCAAGGCTGCAGAGGCTTCCCTCGAACCTCCCCTAGGCTCCAGAGGCCCTCCAGAGGCTGAAAACAAACACTTCCGGTATTACTGGAAGGCCCGTTTTTCGGCCTCCCAAGGCTGCAGAGGCTTTCCTCAATCCTCTGGGAGGGCGAAAACGGCCTCAAACTGGCCAAAAATCAGCTGGGAGGTACGCGCATGCACAGTGCAGGTGAGAGAGCGGGGTGGGGATGTTGAGCGTGCATGCACAGGGGGGTGGGGTGCATTGCATTGTGGGTGCCAGCACGCGCGCATGCATTTGGCACATCACAACAAAAAGGTTTGCCACCACTGTCTTAACCCATCCGCTGTGGGTTATTAAGAAAGACTTGGGGGCTGTTTTCTGCCTCTAAAAATACATTTTCTCCATTTCTCCTTTAGGGAAATATAATCTGCCTTTTTTAATATTTCCCAAAATATTTCATTCTTCTAGGAGGGAGGGGCTTCCCACAGAAAGATCGTTCAGATTTTCATTTAGCCCTGCATTCTTAAGTCTGTTTTACTAACACTGATATCAGGGGTGGGATTCAAATTTTTTAACAACCGGTTCTGTGGCTTAGTTGGTGGGCGTGGCTTGGTGGTCATGTTATTGGCTGGGCATGGCCAACTCAATGTCACTCACATCGAGGCACGCATCTCCTCGCCTGGCCTCTTGTGACTGTGGGGATGCTGCAACAGTCGTAAGTGTGAAAAAGGGTCATAAGTCACTTTTTTCAGTGCCATTGTAATTTTGAATGGTCACTCCACACAAGCAAAGTACCAGCAAAGGAGGGGAAAAAACTCCAGAGAAGTTCCTGAGACAGGAAGTCTAATCCTGCCAAGAATGTAATAAGGGTTAACGGAGAGGCAGTTTCTATAAGCAACACCAGAATGTTTCCTTCCTGCCTTCCTTACAGGATTAGGCCAGTAATTTCTTCCAACAACTGGTTCGCAGAACTGCTTAGAATGTTAACAACCGGTTCTAGCAAATAGGTGCCAACTGGTAGAATCCCACTCCTGACTGATATTCTTAATATGCTGTTCTTGTTTTCATTAACATAAGTCAGGGATTTGGGGGAATATTTTATCACATGGAATTTTAGAGCGATACATTTTACCCTGACTATTTGCACATTCACACCATCTCGTGTTTTGCTCAGAATCACAAACTTCTGTTGTATTTGCAGGTCATCACAACTGGGGAGAGAACTTCCATCGCTAAATGATGCAATCCAGTAAGTGAGTTTCAACTAATTTATATGGTCTTTTTGTCACGTTAAGTGAATCCAGCTTTCTCCATTGAGTTTGCTTGTCAAGAAGCCCCTGGGAAAGATTACAAAGGGTGATCCCATGAACCAAGGACACGACAACCATCATAAAAGCATGACTATTAACGAGCACCCAATTTTGGGTTGTTTAACTGCGATTATGACTCATAATTGAGTAATATTCAAAATGATTGGTAATTGGAAGCATCCTCAGGAAGGAATCCAAAACCGACAATGCTTGTGAACACCAACTTGACACACAGGCACACAACCATGGACACACCCTGGAAATAGTCACAATTGTTCTGCCTAGCCTCCCTACACAGCTTCATTGCAGGAGATCAATCAGACTGGGCAAATGAAATTCTTCCCTCCGGATTCTAGAATAGATATGCTTCTCTGTCCCGCCCAGCCCATCCTAGCAGTTTCGGTCGGTATATAGTTATGTAGAAAGTTTTAGGAGTGGAACTTGAAGGAAAGGGCCAGATGTCTTAAAGGGAATCACTGCAAATGTGAGATATAAACTCAGGGACTACTGGATGATGATCAGGATCTGAAAAACATACCTACTCAATTAGCAGTCAGTCCCCTATAGCAGTGGCCCCCAACCTTTTTTGTGCCGCAGCCCGGTACCGGCATCACAAAATCTTCCGCGGCCCGGTACCGGCATCACAAAATCATCAGCGGCCCGGTACCGGCATCAGCACTC